TGTGTGTGTGTGTGTGTCACTCTGTGTGTGTGTGCGCATGTGTAGATTTCCAAGTTGCTGGCTGCTTACTGATGAGAAATTGTTGGGGGGTAGAAATTTGAACTAAGAGAAGCCTACATTTGAAAGTTTCTGGATTCCAATAACCTCACAACAACATCATGCGACTTGGCAGCAGTCACTGCTGACGGATATTCCCTGCTGGTTATTCCCAGCATGCTGCTACTTTGTTGAGCTCATAGGCCTAACTCTCGAGTCAATGTCTTCTGAATTTTGGGTGCAACATGTCTGGATCTGAGAATCTGGCACTCAAACAGCCAGGAGTCACAACCTGATTTGTAGGAGACTAGAGCGAGGTAGAGTTCTGTTAGACTTGATAAGGGCATCAAGCGTGGACATTGGTGATTGGAAATCGGTGCTTGGCCCACAGAGTTTATTCAATGCTGTGTTAGATAGGTCTTTGACTGACAAGGAGTCAAGGATTAAGTGCTGAGACCACAATCACTTCAGGCATCAACTTCACAAATGCAGCTTGATGAGACTTGCAGCTTGATAAGACTTTAGTTAGGCTGCACTTATTGCCTTCAATTCTAGTCGCCACTTTATAGGAAGGATGTGGAGGCTTTGGAGAGAGTGCAGAAGAGGTTTACCAGGATTAGAGGGTATGTGCTAGAAGGAGAGGATAGAAAAACTCGGGTTGTTTTCTCTGGAGGCTGAGGGGAGACTTGAAGAGAGTGTCTATAAAATTGTGAGACCATTGATAGGGTTGACAGTTAGAATCTTTTTCTCAGAGTTGAAATGTCTAATACTAGGGGGCATGCATTTAAGGTGAGGTCGGGGGTGGGGGGAAATTCAAAGGAGATTTGAGGGTTGACTTTTTTTTTACAGGGACAGTGTTGGGCGTCTAGAACTCCCTGAACTGTGGAGGCCCCTACAGCCATGGACTGCAGTGCTTCAAGAAGGCAGCTCCCTATTACCTGCTCGGGGGCTTATCCCATGAACGAAAACACGGACAATTAGAAAATGAGGCATCCAATTTATGCACTTTAAGCTCCCACTTACAGCAATGTGATAATGAACATATCATCCATCTGACAATTTTTGATTAAGCGATACAAATATATGCCAAGGCACCAGGTAGAACTGGGCGATAGTAGGAAGTGCCGATGCTGGAGTCTGAAATAATAAGGTGTAGAGCTGGAGGAACACAACAGGCCAGGCAGCATCAGAGAAGCAGGAAAGCTGACGTTTCGGGTCGGGACCCTTCTTCAGAAATTAACGCCTTTTAAACACTGCTTCAGACCCTTTCTGAAGATGGGTGCCGACCCGAAACGTCAGCTTTCCTGCTCCTCTGATGCTGCCTGACCTGCGGTGTTCATCCAGCTCTACACCTTGTTATACCAGGTAGAACTGGTCTGTTCAGTTTCAAAATAGTCCTCGAGGATATTCCAGCTTTAGCTAAGAGTGATTGCAAGGATGTTGGGCACAGGGGTCTCTACACACAATGTTCTGAAATAGTCCAGCAAAGCTCTGTGTTATATTCATTTATGGGACATGAACATCTATTGATCAGCCCTGGAGAAGCTGCTGCTGTAATTTCCGTGGTGATAGTACAACCATAGTGCTGTTAGGGAGGGGACTCTAGGATTTTGAGCCTCTGATACTCCAGTATT